AGATAGCCAATAATCTCCCTTCGTACATATTATTTAATCACTTTCATTTCTTCCAATAAACGAACTGCTTACTGCCAGTCCTCTGGCCTTTACCTCGCGTCTCGTTCTCGTGGGACATTGCTTCTGCAATCCAGTCCGTGATAGCCGATTATCGATTTGGGTCCTGTAATTCATATTGCGTGGTTGGTGTTTCGAATTCCGTGAGTATTACTACTACTCCTACTACAATCTTTACGATTTGGCGTTGCGCGATGGAGCTTACAAGTATTGAACAATTGAACCTGCAAGCCAGTCTATCCGAGATAGAGGAATGGGTAGAGCGATTCGAGCTGTGATGCAGTATTAGAAAAGGTCGTGTGCTCTATTTCTCACTGCTGGGGGCCGTGGTCTGTATTCGCTGCTAAAAAACCTGGCATTTCCCGTGTTTACCGCTAAACCGCCATACGAGTTCTTGAAATCGCTCCTGCTCAACCACCTGCTGCCTACTGACTTCCAAACCCACGAACGTGCTAAATTCAATTCCATGATCCGTGCCGACCACATGTCTTGCCATGATTTCATCCTGTAGATAAACAGACAGGCATCACGCTGCAACCACGGCGATCGTTTGAAAGAACAGATGTGTGACCGTTTGTTAGCGGGTATCAACAATCTCACTCTGCAACGCAAATTACTGGAGAAGAAGGATTTAACTTTTGCCGAAGCCCGGAAAATTTGTGAATAGCATGATACTTGATGAAGGCTACTTCCAACGAAGCAGTCACATTATTCCAACAGCAGAAGACTCTATCCAATCGACCTCCAACGGCCAAACGTGCATCAAAGCCGCAGAAAGATTCCCCAGGTAATGAAAAACGAATATATCCATGTTTTTTCATGGAGCTCACCACCTACGCTCCAAGTGCAGCCTTCGTAATGCCAAATATCATGCTTGCGGAAAATTTGGCCATATTCGGAGAGCATGTAAACAAACTCGTTGCAATCTTACACAGCCAAATGCTTCAAACGACACATAGGTTGTGCACTCTCTAAGTTCTGAAGGCCCAACCACCCAATTTCTGTACCGAGATGTGACATTACAGACTAGTACAAACCAAAAAAATCATTGTTGATACGGGAAGCATGGAATCTACCATTTATATTGCTGTCTAATACATCTAGAACAACTGGTCGTGAAATTTTCTAATAATACGGAAGGTATGCACATACAGCCGGCCAAACTGGAAGTTGATGGTGAACCCATTTTCCTGAAACCACGTGGAATTGCCCACGGCCAACGTGATGGTGTACTGCAGGCCCTTGAGAAAATGGAGCGCAATGGCATAAACACACGAGTCACATCCAGCACGTGGGCAACGCAAATCGTGATCGCAATCAAGAGTGACGGCAAAACACCGCGAATTTGTGGAGACTACCGATTAACACTCAACCCGCGGGTGCAAAAGTGTGCGGCTACCACCATGGAACCGGAGGATTTCATGAAAGCATTGCACGGTAGCACATGCTCCTCGAACATTGACTTGGCCGATGCATACCTCCAGATTCCACTCGCAGCAACCTGCCGGCATTTCACCACTATCAACACAACATGGGGACTGTATCAATACAACTTCCTACCGTTTGGTCTCCATACATCCTCCAGCATATTCCGGGTGGCAATTGACGACGTCATCCGTGGACTCGATGGCGTGTTGGCGTACCAGGACGATGTCATTTTGTTTGGTACAACAAAGGCCGAGCATGACGATAAACTCCTCAAACTACTGGAGCGATTCGCCCAAAATAACGTGTCAATTCGCGCCTCCAAATGCATGTTCAGCTAAGCAGAATTGGAATTCTTGGGTTTCACAGTAGATGCAAAAGGCTATCGCCCTGATCCAAGTCGCCTCCACCCATTGACTGAACTGGAGTCACCAAGAGACCAAAACTAACTCAGATCCATCATGGGGTGTCTCCAATACTATTCGCGTTTCATCCCGAACTTCGCCACAAAAGCCCAACCGCTGTTTGCTGCTCAATCGACTACGGAATGGAAATGGACTACCGAGTGTGAACAAATTCTGCGTGAAATCATTCAGATGATAACTGATCGACCAGTACTTGCCTCGTTCTCTCCGACAAAACATCCAACTTTGATCACCGACGCATCCGATGTTGGCATTGGTGCCGTCCTCGAACAGAACGGATTTCCGATTGTCTGCATCTCCCGTTTACTCAACAAAGCAGAACGAGGATATTCGCAGACGCAGAAAGAAGCACTAGCTGTATATTGGGCCGTCCGTCGTCTACAAAAATACCTGTGTGGATTGCGTTTCACCATCGAAACCGATCATCGAGCGTTGTAATATCTATTCAGTCCACAAAATCCGATCTCCAAACGAACGTTGGCGATGATTCATTGATGGAGCATTGCATTGGCTGCCCTTGACTAGGACATAGTGCACTGTCCGGGCAAAACAATTCCCCAGGCTGATTTTCTCTCGCGGTGGTCGAAATTCCCGGACGTTAGGAGGTGCCATTTCTTTGCTGCTGCTACCACGGTAACACGAGAGGATTTGTCCCGATTTACCAAAAGATACTACGCAGAAATCACACCGGCTCTGTCAAAAGAATGGCTTCCTGATTTGAAGCGGATGTTCGCAGTAATCTATGCACACCTTGGAGAAATCAGTGTCCAACCTGACCGAACACTATGCCGCAACGTTCGACTGATCATTTCCCCTCCGCTACGCAAGGCAGTGCTAGAAGACCTGCAAAAAGGCCACTTATGGGCGAAGAAGATGAAGTCGTTGTCACGATAGATTTGCTAGTGGTTTGGTCTAGATGAATACATTGGTCGAACTGCTAAGAACTGCGAAGCATGCCTACAAAGCGGAAGTCAAAACCAAAGAATGGGGTTCCATGTCCAGAAAGCTGTATTCCGTGGCAACGTGTGCACGCTGACTTCTGTGGACCATTTCTCGGTCATTATCACGCACTAGTACTTATCGATTCATACTCCAAATGGCCTGCAGTGTTTCTAACCAGCACACCAACTACATCGTTTGTGATGCGGGTACTACGAAAGTGTTTCAGTCGAGAGGGTGTTCCTCAAGTGTTGGTGACTAACAATGGGTAACAATTCTGTGCTGCGGAGTTGAAAACTTGACTGGATAGTATTGGCTGCCGACATCTGCGCACAGCACCACGTCACCCGTGCTGGAACGGCGCAGCACAAAATTTGGTGAAAACAGTGGAGAGTGTCATTCCCTCTGCAAATCCAAGGACAATTGTAGAGTTGGAGATACTCCTAGACAACTTCCTACAGCAATACCGGAATGCCGCACATGCTACCAGCAAAAAAGGGCCAGCGAAACTGTTCAAAGCCAGAAGCTTACCTTTCCTCACTACGATGCGTGGATTCGAGTGACGTCGTATACTTCCCAGGAAACGACTTGAGACCATCAAGAGGAATCATTACCCGCAAGATTGGTTAAGCCATGGTCGAAATCACTGATCTGACAGATTTGACGGTTCATTGACGCCACATCGACCGAATTCACTTCAACGAAACTCCGACTTTGACTGAAGACCTTGCCAAAGAAACCCAACAATAGCTGCCCTGTGATACGCCGTCAACAACTACTGAAGGTCATACGCAACAGCCCTCTATTCAGGAAATGTTTACCGACGAGGATACTCCAATCGCACTACGACAATCATTCAGAAGAGCTAGCCAATTTGACGAAGCTCTTTTGAAAGAGAAGAGTTGTGGTGATCCAGACCTACACGATGGCCCCTACCCTGGAGCGGCGCGTTACAGTTTCTGGACATTGGCGATCAATCAAGTTTGAATGTTGACATCAATGACACGTGCATAGCTTCTGAATACACGTCATTGGCGGATGGAGCCAGCCAATCCAAGACAATGCAGACAGAAGCAAGATTATGCAAGCAGTGCTGCAATCCAATTGTTGGAAGCCCTGATAGCCAATAATCTCCCTTCGTACATATTATTTAATCACTTTCATTTCTTCCAATAAACGAACTGCTTACTGCCAGTCCTCTGGCCTTTACCTCGCGTCTCGTTCTCGTGGGACATTGCTTCTGCAATCCAGTCCGTGATAGCCGATTATCGATTTGGGTCCTGTAATTCATATTGCGTGGTTGGTGTTTCGAATTCCGTGAGTATTACTACTACTCCCACTGCAATCTTTACAATGTTCCGGACACCCGAGGGGACATATTGATTGCCTGTGATGTACCCGAGGCGCATTTGGTTTTGGACCAAAGGATTGGAGGCTGTAGAAATTCGTATGCTGTGTGCACGAAGTTTGGTTGGATATTCTGCGAGCCGCTGGGTAATGATGGTAAGTATTCAGCCTCAATCAACTTCATCTCGCGGCCANAGTTCGGCGACATAGCAAACAACCGGGTATCCATGTCGAGGGAAGACCGAGCAGCTCTGACTATCGTCATCGAAACGACACGACACAACGGAGTGCTCTTACCCTGGCAAACGGGATTCAACCGATTGCCAGACGATCGAGAAATAGCCCTCCATAGGCTCAACTACCTGAAGGGACGATTTATGAGGAACGTACAGTTAAAGG